AAAAATTTGCCTATTTTAATTCTTTTCTCTCTCGGCTAACTGAATGTAAACACGGTTATTTACTTGTTCGAAATTTTCTTTATAGTGTTGGAAATTTTCTGAGGGTAGGTACGTTCCCAGTGGTGGCCAAGGACTAAATTGACAGAAGCTGGATAGAGTGTTTTTTCCACTTAATTCATTTAAGTAATTACAAAGAAAAATGTATTAAAAGTATCTCTTTATTTTTCCCCCTTATCTTTTTTTTGATAAACAAACTTTTGATAAACAAAAATTTTCTCCAAAACTTTAAAAATTCTTACGAGTTCATTTAACCATAGTCACGTCTTTTAATTATTATTTACGCTTAAAAATTAATTTCCATTTTTTAAAGTGCATATTTACTCTCCCTCTCTCTACTAACTAAAGTTAATAAGGAGAGAGAATCTTTCAAAATCATTAATTGCCAACATACATCTTTATTTAATTTTTAAAATTTAGTAAGGAGGTATATCCCTCCTCTAAGGAGGGATATACATTAAAGGGTACATTCTTATTTAAAAGACTTACTTGCAATAAGAATTTAAGAAAAAAATTTTAACTACTGTCTTAATTAAATATTAATTTATAAAATTCTTTGGCAATCTTCATTAAACTTTAAATATTTCCTCTGATTGAAAGGGAATAAATTATCATAGATGTTTACCAGTCTAATGCCTTTTACACAACTGCCACTTTAAGTTTCTAAAAAATATAAGTGTCTAATGCTATAAGGTGTTGGCCAGTAAAGATTCTTTCAAGTCTTGTTATAATACAAATGAAAAGATCACCCATGATTGGATTTGCGGATATTGCTTTCAGTCTTTCTTCTAATCCACATATACGGGATTATAATCTAGCTAAGTTTAATATTTTGGCTGAAGATCCTTTTTTATATTTCATAAAACCGAAATTATGCTAGAAGAAACTAAGGCACCTTATTACTAATCTAATAGTTTTAGATGAAATTAACTAATTTTGTTATTTGCTTGTTAATTATTTTAAATTATTCAATTTTGTTGGAATGTGGCGGCAGCAGGAAGGGAAAGGAAAAGGTTGGATCGACAAGTGGTGGTCGACCGGTGCATAATTTTGATTTGAATATGCGTAAGTCGTTTTAAAAATAAAATGTATTTTCCTATTGTAATCACTTTGCTAATTTATTTTTGACGATACTCAATGGCCTTCCAAGATTCTCAAAATTTACAGATGCGGCGTAAAAGACGCAAAACTCTTTAGTTCTCCGATCTTTTTAATACTTCATAAATACCGAGTGTCTGATAATTGAGTGATAGTTCAAATGGAAAAGGCATTTGTCAGTGATTCTTTGTTAGAGCGTTTTATTGCCTAAAAATTGTAGCTTTAATTATTTGGATCCATTTCTCCTTGGTTGTTTAGAATAATTAAATTTTATTAAAGCAAATAGCTAATACTTAAAAAAATTTAGCAGGAGATACGATAATTGAGAATCATGAAGAGCCAAAAAATATTCGTAAAACAACTCGTAAAACGCCCACAAGAGGTAGTATATTTAATATTATAATACACCGACACATTCTAAATAAATTATAATAATTAATAAAATATTTAAATCGTAGAGAAAACATCTGAAGTTTGGAACTATTTTATTGAAAAAAATGATGGTAAATGTTACTGTACATTTGATAAATGCAAAGAACATCAGGGATTGAAGCCCAAAACGACAACTTTAAAAAGACATCTTGAATATGTCCATGGTAAAAAATTTGCTTCGGCAAATAAAAAAAAGAATCTACTAAAAGTAATTTAACATTTATTTTTCAATATACTAAAGTGAATCATACACTATTCACTCAAATGTCTAATTTTTAGGTATAATAAACATTTCAGTTTAAACTTCCTGGGATCACTATATGTATAGGGTAGAATGTTAATGCTCGGTGTAAAAGTTGAACTAAAATTTATACAAAAAGAAACTTACCTATTATTACGGTTTTAAATAGAGACCAGACGGTACAGTAGTACGACGGTATTTTTTGGCATTTATCGGTATTTATCGGTATTCCGTATCGGTAGTACTGTACGTGATACCGACCGATAAAATTACCGTAAATGCTCTAATAGAACCACACTCCCTATTTGAAGCACACTCCCTAATATAAGCACACCCTAAGAGAGGATCGAAAAATAAAAATACACTCCCTATTTGAAGCACACTCCCTATTATAAGCACACCCCTTGTGTATTGGCAGAAAAAAAGCAAGTCATGATTTTTTAGTTATAGTTAAGTCATATGAAAAGGATTAAGGGAGATATACCCAAAAACCGATACCCAAAACTGATATACAGAAATCCGATCCCCTTAAATCCGCGATATCCGTCCAACTCTTCTAATATCCTCCTTAATCCCAAAGATCCCTTGGTCTCCCCGATTTAGCAATTAAGAAAGGGGAATATGGGTCAGCACGAAAGTCGAAAATTTTAAAAATTTTCGAAGGAAAAAATTTTTTAGTTAGAAAAGTTTTATTAAAATTTATGAATTCAATTGAAATTTAATTTTTGTTTTGTTTTGTGAGGTTATATATGGATTTCTGGGCTCCAAAATTATATAATATTAATTTAAGTGAGGTAAAAATTTTCATTAAAAAATTAAAAATAGATCGAAAAATAAAAGCACACTCCCTATTTGAAGCACACTCCCTAATATAAGCACACCCTACGAGGGGATCGAAAAATAGAAGCACATGTAGTTCTATTAGAGCATTTACGGTATTTATTTTTTCTGTACCGTAATCCGGTCCGATATTTTGCGGTATTTATCGGTATTAATCGGTAATACGGTACTGAGATACGGAATACGATATGGTAAAATTTTGAATTTTATCGATGTTTTTGGTATCGGTATTTTTTGGTATTTCAGTACGGAATACATTTTAGTACGAAATTCGGTCTCTAGTTTTAAAGGATATCAGGTTATTTAGAGACCGGCGAATCACAGACACATTCTAAATAAATTATAGATAATTAATAAAATATTTAAATTTTAGAAAAAACATCTGAAGTTTGGAACTATTTCATTCAAAAAAATGATGGTGATTATTACTGTACATTTGATAAATGCAAAGAACATCAGGGATTGAAGCCTGAAACGACAACTTTAAAAAGACATCTTGAAGGTGTCCATGGTATAAAAGTCGGTCCGGCGAATACAGGTGTGTTTTTTGCAAGCGTTTATGTTCTGTTGAATTTTAGATGTGTAAGGGCTCAAAGCGTCATTTATCTTTGAAGATAAGAAAATAGTAAAGCAGCTGGCCTATTCTCTCCTTCATCTAGTGCAAAAGATTTTTCGTCGGCTGCAAGCGAATCAACATCTGTAGTAGATCGAACTAAGGTTTTATCTATTACACCTCTCTGCCTCCGTAATTAAATTGATACTGCATTACAATATAAAAAACACAATAAAGGAACTAACATCACTAATATGCTAAGCTTATAAAATTCAAATTGATAAAGTCTATCTAATAGACTAAAGGAGAATATTAATTTAAAAAGCAAAACATGATCAAAAAAGGCTAAATTTTCTTAAATATATGAAAGACACACCCCTGATAACTATCATGTGAAAAATTATATATTCAACCATAAATCTATTATTAACATGTGTAGAAATTAGTTGAGTAGAGATTCAAAAGTGCGTAAGCTCCAATTAAGTGGGGGTCGGTTTTTTGTTCAAACAATTTTATTTTTATGAGACTTCATATATTTATTCTTAATTTATAGCAGCTAATGCTGAAGATGCAAACGTTGAAGAAGGAGAAAGTGAAGCTACAGCGAGTGATGAAGCTTTTCGTGAAGCTATAGTTGGCGACGCTACAATGTCTGATTGAACCTGAAGCGTGGTTATTTGGGAAGTTACTATTGGGAACTACAAAAATTCTAAACACAAAATTTGTGGAACAAAATATTTAAAAATAGCTCTACAACAAAAAATTTCAGTAAATTACTAAAAATTCAAATTAAAAAATTCTGTAAACTTTAAAAACTCCAAAAAAGAAACTATTTTATTTATGTAATCTTCATCACATTATTTCTTATTTTTCATTTTATTATAAAAGTAGTTAGTAAAAATTATTTTTTCAAAATTAATCAAGAGATAAACTCAAAGATAAGGTTTTGGCATTCGTTAAGTGTAATATTGTTCAGCTAACATTTTTAGAGTCTTTTGTCTTAAGGTTCAATGATATTCTTGGTGTTTGTTGTATTGTGGAGTGGATTGGGTGAGAGTGTAGCGTAAGTAGTTTGGTCTGGAAAAGATAAAGGAGATCTGGTACTATAGGACCTAGTATGATCCAATTAGACTATGCTTACTCTGTATTTTATGTCATAGTGATTCAATATACATCATTTGTCTTACACAATATCTCCATGTCCGTGCTATGTTGCTTTTTAGACATCTTTCTGTAGACTTCTTATGATACGAGCGATGTTAAGAACGAGGTTATCGGATTTTTCAGGGTCCCAATTTCAGTCTTTTTTGCAACCTTTACCTTATAATCCTTCAAAACTCTTTCCGGGGTCAATCAATTTTATGAAAACACAATGCTTGTACCATACTACAAATAATATTTATACAGACAATGATTAATAGCTAATAAAAGATATAAAATTTTCAGTTAAATGAATATCATATCAAAATTTTCTCTCCAAGTATATACAAAATATTGGTACAGTAGGATGATTTTTTTCAATATCTCTCTCATTTTACTCATTTTTTTTAATATGACTAAAAATCTTTGCTGCTCTCTAATTGAACAGAAGTTGAAACCATTGGAGTTTTTGTTGCCGGATTGACAGAAATAGGATTACCAATACCAATTTGGTTTGAAGTTCCCATTTTGTTTAAAATTTGTGTGGGTGTTAGTTTTGTTGTTTTTTGTTTGAAAAAGAAGAATGGATAGGAGCCCTTAAAATTTTTTTATTATTTGTAGGTTAGCTTATTAAGTTTCCTTCAAGCCGATTATAATGATCTGGAATCTCGGTTTTGTACTGGCTATGAAAAGACGTGGAAATGGCTCAAAAGTTGAAGAAAGGCTTAAAAAGGGAATTCAGACCGGCCTTATCCTAGGGCTTTCCATTTTTGCCTTAAACCTCTGAAACTCTTTGTTTCGAAATATCTTCTACGTACCCATCTAATCTTCTTCGATGTAACCAACAAATTATAAGGATTATGTAAATCATAAATATCCGCCAACACATACAGCGACCACTCAGAAAATCGTCCATATTCTGCGTATATCGAAGTCAAATAATCTCTTGTCAAAAGAAAGCAAATATAAAAAATATTCGCAATTAATAAGGAGATTAGTGTATATAACATTTTAATCTCATATTGTTTCTTCTTTGTTTGATCTTTCATGTCAAATCGCGAAATTTTGTAAAACATTGGAATATAACAAAAAAAGCAGATCCCTAGTATGGTGTAGATATGTCCTTTCCATATCCAGCCATAAAAAGCCTTAAATCAGAAAGATTAATTTTAACAAAAACAGAAGGACATCGACCATCTTAAATCTTCAATTTAGCTTTTAGACCAAAATGAATGAGTCAGATAACATAATGTTTTCCTAGAACCTTAATCATTATCATTCCCCCTTAGGATCAAGACAATACCCAGGCAACTTCTTAATTTAAACATACACTGTCAGAGGCATTCGCAAACACAGGTCCTGTATATTTTGTAATATTTCCATTTTCTGTCACAATAATAGAAGGAGATATCTGTATAGGGAGCCAAGTAATTTGAATTGTTGCCAGAAAGCATATGGCAAAGACCATGCAAATATAAATTCTATTATGTTTATTTGTCCAATACTGTAATAAGTATAAGATTGTTAGGAATTCTGAAATTATTAAAGGAATGGTAGGCAGCAGGGATGGATAGGGTTACCCGAACCACGATTCTAAGAAAATTTTAGAAACTTTTCCAAACTCTACCCAAATTTTATTAACACGGAGGTTGTAGGCTTTGTCGGCAGCTGTAGCCCTAGGCCTGCTAGGCTGTTGGCTTTGTCGGTCTTACAATTAGTCAAATCAGACTTGTACCTATTGGAATCCTTTAATAATCTTTCAAAATATAGTCCTTATACAATCTTTATCACTGTGTTTGACCGTGGCGGTACCGTAATTTACAAACAAAATATATTCTTATACCGTTTTATAAATATTTGGGAACATCAAAGAAACAAAACGATTCAAAGAGATAAGTATGTTTAGTTCCCATTGTGCCATTCCTGTAAACCAAATAATGAAGTAAACAATAGAGCATGTTGTCGTAGGTGAACCATAGGGTTGAAAGAATGGAATAGTGACATCCCAAAATTGTAGTTTTTTAAGGATATAGAGCCAATAGCATCTAAAATTTATGTGATACGTTTAATGGACCGAAATTTTTTATAGTGCTCCTATTTTGCTATTAAATGGGCATCGATAAACCGTGGCAAGATCATGATTATTTAAGATAAAGAATAGACTTAGTGTTACCAAACTTACACCCAACTCTACCCAACTATTCAGGATTTTGTATAGACATTTTCCAAACAAATCTTATAATCAAGTCATTATTTTATTTTTATATTCTTATGACACACCGATATCGCTGTTTGAGACTTCCCAAAAACAAATTCTTCTAACCCCTTATCTATATACATGAAAGTGTGCAATATGGCTAAATCTGTAGACTACTCGAACACGTTGAGCTGCTAGTAATATCAGCCAGAAGGGCTGAATTTATTTTCCCTAAGGCTATATTTTCTTATACCAGCCCTATGCAAACTTTGAAAATGTATTCGAATTTGTATTATTATCATTCCTATTATTATTATCAATTTGCTTACACCAAGTCAATAATTCCTAGCGCAACAAAACACGTAAAAAACGGAGAATTAAACGGAGGTTTATTACTGAGTCGACGAATATAAACTAGCACAGAAACATAAATTGGTGTTGAAACCAAAATTGAATATGTAGTAAATATTATTGTAATAATTTCAAAAGTTGTTAGTAGATCAGTAACACTCATTCTTGAAATTATTATTATGAAACCTTTACGTAACTAAAAGGTGATTCGAAAAAACTGTGACATGTTATTTAAGCCATTCTTTTAATATTAGTTAGATTAAATAAAGCTTAAACTATGAGATCTACATAAATAATTAATTAATATAATGAAAAATTTTTGAAGTGTCTTCTCTTTGCTTGGAAATAGATGGAATGAAAAGAGTGGATTAGAGACCGGACTGGGACTGTCGTACGAAAATCGAGATCTCGAAAAATCTCGATTTTCGATAACAGAGATCTAGTGTGGATGGAATGAAGTGTCCTTATCTTTTAGCCTTCCTGTATTACATAAAACAATAAGTTTTATTTCTTATCTTTATTTTTTAAGTACATAATATGTATAGAAAAGTCAGTGGATCTCATTAATTTCGATTCCTTAAACAGTATATATGCTTGATGCTTTTTTGAAAAAAAGGATGAAAGGTGAAAAAAATCCTTAAACCCTTCATCTAATAAAAATTTAAGTGAAAAAATTAAGAATTCTCCATATTAAAATAAATTAGATTTTTTCAAAAATTCTTTAAAAATAAATTTTTTTATAAAATCACTTTCAAAAGTATCATAACCTTTAAACCTTATTCAATTTGTCACGCAAATTTTCAAAATTAAATTGAGAATTGCTTTGTATTTCTAATTTATTTGTGTTTCTAATTTTTTTCTTTTTTATGACTTTTTATTTTAAATTTTTTATTTGTGATTAAAATAGGTTTTACAAATTGTTTTTAAAAATTATATTAAGCCTGTACAATTATTCCTTGTTAAAATACAAATACAAAAGTTATATTTTTATTCGGAAATTTAAAAAAATGAAAAATGAAAAAAATAGCATAAAAAATTTAAAAATAATTAAACTAAATATCATGCATTTATGTATAAAAATATTTTATTTTTGTTAAAAATATTTTCTAAATTAGTCATTAGCATATTATTTAAGGTAAAAGTTATTCTAGAAATTATTAAATTGTTTAATTTAGCGTTCTAAAATTAGAAAATTGCCATTTAAAATTTTTAATGTGCCAATTTTTATTAAAAATAAACTATTGATAATTATAATTTCATGGAATAAATTTGCTTTTTTAGTAAAATTTAATTTAATTTGTTTGTTTTTTATGTCAGTAGTTTATGTTATGTACAGATTTAAATTTATTAAATAATACACACCCGGTTAGAAACTTTAGAATCGGGTTTCTGTTCGGAAATTGGACAGGATTCCTTGAATACTCGAGAAGCACATCTTTGTTACTTAGAAATGTCTCAAAAAAAGATGCACCTGCCTAAATTTAGAAGCTTCCTTGAGAAAAATTGAGATTTAGATGAAGGCTTGACAGATATAAACCAATCATACGATATTCTAGAAGTATACCGCCAGTATTAGGGTTTGGGTTTTCCAGTCAGGCCGACATTCAATTCGTCTTGTTCAGGCCTTATTTTTCGGACCGACCCGACCGAATCTTTTTTCGTGCTAAAATTTAATGCCCTACTCGAACGTTCGGAACGGGCCGGATCGGGAAACCAACTCTAGTCATTATAAAATAATTTTCCGTATTTCCTCTAATAGAACGACAGCCTCTATTTGAACGATACCCCTTAATAGAACGACAGTCTAGAGGGAGATTGAAAAATAAAACGACATGTCTTTCTATTAGAGGAAATACGGTATTTAAAAGAATTTTTAACTAAGATTGAGAGCATTATTTTATTAAATGTACTTCTTCAAATATTTCATCTGCGTACAAAAAGGAAATGAACCTTCGACCCAAATAAAAATGAAAAAATTTAGATATATACTTTTGATAATATATAATTTACACACTTCACTTTCTTAGTTTAGTTTAATATAAGCTAATAATTTATATTATTTTAAAACATCTGCTTAATTTAGCTCTGTTTAAAGTCCAAGAGATCACTTTTTGGCTTACTGTGAGTCCGTAATTGAGCCAGGTACAATTTCCGTTTGAGACACAGCTATCTAAAAGTACATTATTTTCTGCCGTAATTAATTTATTATTTATAAATATTAAATAAATTCTGAGAATTTTCTGATGTTAATAAAGTGGCAGGTGTAAAATGATTATTATTTTTTCACAAATATTTCCACACCTGAAAATCAAAAAATTTTAGACTATGGCATTAAGGGGTTAGCAATCAGGTAGATATGTATAAATATAAGTGATGAGGGAAAGAAGAACCTCACAAAGAACCTCACAAAAATGGGGTGGTACGAAGTAAGATTACGAGCAAATCCGAAATTTATAAGCACTGATCGGGACGGCATGATCCCTATTATGTAGTTATGGTTAAAAAATTTCTATTAAGATATGTAGTATTTAATGAAATATGTATTTTTAATTCAGAAAATTTCCGATTAAAAATTTTAAATGTATACAAAAAAATTATAAAAAATATTAATATATCACATCAAAAAATATCAAAAAAATTTTATAAAATTATTTTTTATTTAAAAAAATCAGTTCTCCCTCTATTATTTAATTGACAGACTTCACAACAGCTGATTTTAGTAAGAGAACTTTGAAAAAATAAAGAAATATTTATTGAATGTTCGATTTATTTTTAACTCACTTATTAAGCTTTATCTAAGCCTTTAATCGAATTTTAACTTTATAATATTTTTTTTAAAAAATAAGTAGATTTTAATGGAACCTTTTGGAATAAGCTACAGACCGGGTGAATTTCAAAACCCAAAATGTGAGCGTTGCGAGCAGGAAATAAAAACTGGGGAAAAGTTGGTTATGGACCGGAAAACGAGTTTATTTATTATCATTTATCAAAAAAATTTTTTCCAAAAGTTCACAAGGGTTGCTTCAAATGTGCTATTTGTGATAAAATATTAGAACATGGCTCTTCCGGCTTGGATAATGGATTGGCTAAATATGGTCCTATTTGGCTTTGTCGTCCACATTTGTAAGTGGTTTCGTAAATTATTTTAGGATAAAACTTGGGGATCTGTAGAAGAGGTCGGTCGGAAATGACGGAGGGTCGTTCGGAAAAATCGGAACTGTCGGAAATCGGAAATCTGCCTAAATTTTTGAAAGTCTGAATTCCGACCGACCTCTGATCTTTAGTTATCTATTCTGGCTAGAATTAAAGGGCCTATCAGCTCCACATATTACTCAATGCCTCAGATTTGAAAGGTATCATAAATTGAAGTGTAAATGATATTAGGTTTGAGTTTTATATCGTGGATGATGTCGTGTAAGTGGGTGAGATACCTACATATGCGATTCTCCCATTTAAAGAATTTTGTCGACAACTTTTTACAGTTTTGAGGGGTATCACTATACGACATTCGAAATTATCTATAATTTA